ACAGAAATATATTACCTTTTAGAATCACTTTAACCTCATATGATGCAGAACCAACATCATTGCTGGCAGTGCAGTTGTAGATGCCAGGCCCATACACAGTGAGGTTTCCTTTAGACACATTCACATGCGACTCTGGGTTGTAGCCCCACTTGATCTTTGGGGTTGGGTTACCATCTGCTTCACAAACAAGCTCCTCAGGGTAGCCTCTGAACACGGGGATTTCTTTTGGAAGCTTTGTGGTATTAATTTTGGGCTTATCTGTTGTGACAAAGAGGTAAATACAGTAATGTCAAGACAATGAATATTCAAGCAATACCATGAAAAACAAACAATGCGTTACAATTTGAATAGCATATTTTCCAACCCATCTGCACACCTCTGAGATGAATCCAATTGAGAATATAAGAATGAATAGCATGAAAAATTTTTTAGAAATTGGGTATTCAGAGCAAAGAATCCCAAAGTGGAACTTTTTGTTCAAATTGTGTACTTTTAAATATCTTTACCTCTTTATTTGAATATTTCACGACATTTAATATAAACACTTAAAAACAGTATATGTTCAACATAACAAAAGGAATGGTAGATTCCACTTAATTGGGAAAAGTGAATATGAAAATAGGATCTTACACAGGACAGTGATCTTAAGAGTGCTGGATGTTGTATTTTGAGTGGTGTTTGATCCCGTTTCTAACAGAGCCTCACATCTGAACTCCGCTCCGCTGTCGTTCCTTTGCAGATTGACATTAATCGTGGTAGAAATATTTACCGGGGATCTGACATCACTGAATTTGCAGGTTTTGTTGTTTTCAAGCTGACAATCAGTTTCTTTCAGTATGTCTGACAGAAAATAAGACAACAAAAAGACAAAAGCTGACATTTCCACCTGATTGCATATCAGTCGGAGACATAACAGATATGAAGCATGACTTGCAGTACCGTGAAAAAGTCTCAAGCAACACCTTATTTCTTTATATTTTGCCCGACTTTCTTGTAATATTTTAAAATGATCTCGAACAATAGTTCCCCACACTTTCTGGAGGTCTTTCCAAGGTTTTTCTTTGGATATTGGCTATTTCCTTCACTTATTCAGTCCACTCCTACCTAACCATTTTCAGAGGATTTTTTTCTTTGCTTGTAAATGTCTTAATACTTAACTCAAGTAACGAATCAGTGTTGTGTCTATACATAACAGAAAACGTTGCAAGAATCAAGCATCCTGTTGCAAACACAAATTTTGTTGTATTTTTATTTCATAAAAATGCCAAAGATAACACAGTTTTACAGGCATAAAATTGAATTGTTGCATCAATCAAGTAATTCCCAGGGAACCACTATCTTGAGACTTTGGTGTGCTGTGTGTCTTTAAAGAAAATGTAAGGCAACACTGGACCAGTGGAGGACAACATACAAAAAAAGCTGCCAAATTATAGCAATTGAACTGAAAATCAGTGGCAACAGGTCTTATGGATTGATGAATCAAAATGAGAAATTTTGGGTTCAAATCTTCATCTATATGCATGGAGAAGGTCAGGAGAGACATGCAGTAAGTGTTTGCATTTCAGCCAGTGGTGTTTGGAATCTTGTCAAAACTGATGGAATTATGAACACAGAAAAGTACCATCATCCACCATGCAATACCATCTGCAAAGTGGCTGATTGGCAGCTGCTTCATTTTTCAGTATGACAATGATCCCAAACACACTGCCAACACAATAAACGCATACCTGGATAGAAAAACAAACAATGAAACAGTCATGGATTGGCCTCCCCAGAACCCGAACCTCAACATTATCAAAGCAGTGTGGGATCTTGACAAAGAACAGAACAAAAGGCTACTAATATTTAAAAAAAAGAGCTTTGAATGTCTTTCAAGAAGCCTGGAGATCTATTTCTCAAGACTATTTAAAGAAACGACAAGCTTCCCCAAGAAAGTTTGGGTTGTATTGAAGAATTAAAGAGGTCCTAACAAATATGGATATAATAATTAAACTTGGAATTGTATAAACTCAGTTTTTGCCTTATGTCTTGCATTTTCACGTTCGTCTGTACCCATTTCTCACTTCCCCAGCATAATACAGACAAAGAAACCTGGCGTAAGCTATAACATTTACAAAAAAAGTTCTTCACCTTGATTTTTGTACCACAAAACATTGGGTTTTTTTCCCGGTGCAATGTTGACAATGTCACACCGCAGCTGGAACTCTTTGCCCTCTTCCATGGAGGTAAAGTTATCCACGTGATCGATGGAAACACTGACTGGTTTTTCTACAGTACAGAGTTGTTGGGAGAGGGAATCACAGTAACAGAAAGACAGCACAGTAACACAAGTTGACATTCAAGTTTGAAGGTGGTAAAAGTGTAAAGAGTGCATTTCGATGATTTATTGCATTTTCGTAGTTTTGGAAATATTGCAGTGCAAACTAGCGTTACCACCCAGTCATCATTGGTGTTAGCAAACCAAGTCATATTATCAGATTCTACCCCCTCCCAGTATATTCTCTAGACATTTGTGGAGATGGTGGATGTTGAGCTGCATGTTGCACCCTGCTTCTGTATTCAGTCACTATTGGGTTTGGAGTTATTTCAAGTGGGCATTCTTGCTTAGCACATGCAGAAATGTTATTTCAGTCCAAGTCAACATTCCTCCATTATATATAATAATGCAAGATTTCCACATCCAGCGCTGTAGTGAAATAGCAATGAAAGGAAAGCTCTTTAAGCTGTTCCTGTGTAGGCAACAGGAAAAGACTCAGGAAGGATACACCCCTCCCACAGGGAAGTCTGCACTTGCTGCCCACCATTCTTTGAGGTGGACTATACCAACAACACATATCAGTTAAATGCGTCACATTCAACTCAGTTCATTTCCACGTATTACAAAGTACAATGTTATCACACCTGAGACATATATCTTTTAACCATGCATCTACAACAAACAGATTGTTGGGGGAAAATGTAAATATACAGAAGATCCTTATAACCCCAACAATAAAAGTCACTAATTTTCCCACTTTTGTCATTTTTTTTCTCCCATTTAATCGTTTAGGAATAGGCTTCCTATACATGCCTCTCTTGAAAACTAGACTCAGTGAAACTTTTTCCTGGATAAATAAAGGATTTAACTAAAAACTTCATTCACACTTTCCGGGCATTCCCAACTTTTTAAACACTCCCTTTTTGCTATAAGCAAACTCCAAAGCACGCAGGGATGGAACCCTTAGCCTCTGTTATTTCCATGTCAACAGCAAAGAAAACATGAGCTCTCAAGTGTTTCTTACTTACTGGTTTCTGCCCCGTTAGAAAGCGATAACAGCTCTACTGTCAAAAGGGCTGAAAGAAGACGAAGAAAGCTCAAATAATCCATTAGAGTAAACTTTCTGAGTCTCTTATTCCAACAGCTGTCGCTCCTTTTCCTTGGCTTTCCTTTCTCTTACAGTGAGCTGGAGTGTATATCGCTTCAGCTCAGCTGCTAAGTAAACCAGCGGCGACTTGTTGACTTTTTTAGGAGAAAGCTAAGCTAAGCTACAGCTGACAGCAGCACGCCGCTCCCAGCTCCCAGCAGTTACCAGGGAGGAAACTATCCCTCCCCCAACAGTGGGCACAGAGAGACACTGAGTGCACTCACTACCCCTGACTAAGAAAACACTGCAGCAGTGCTAATAAATCACAGTTTAAAGTGACAAAGACAGTGCAGTTAGTTAAAATGTAAAGTAGCAACATTTAGTGTAAAGACAAGAAAAGGTTCATTTAAAGTGATGCATTAAGTGACACAAGTGGCTCTTTGATGCAGAGAGTCAGTAAACAGAAATGCAGAGGAAAAAAGTAGATCTTTGAAGTGGATTAGATAAAAGTAGATGAATTCGTGTTGGGTAGCTTGTATGGAGTAATGTAATCTTTTTCACAATCTCAGTCACAGTCATACTAGACTCACTGGTCAGTATATTAGGTACACCTTGTTTAGTACTGGGTAGGACTCCCTTTTCGATTCAGAACTTAGTATTTCATCACCAAAAGTTGATTCTGTTCATCTGGACGTAGCGTTTTGTGGGAGAAACGTTTCGTCACTCATCCAAGTGACTTCTTCAGTCTCAGCTGACTGCAGGTTTCCCCAAATCCAACTTTACTCGTAACCCGGAAGCTCTCCCGGAAGCTTCTCCCAAATAAGATTTGGGGAAACCGACAAAACGCTACGTCCAGATGAACAGAATCAACTTTTGGAGATTTATTTTCCTGGATGATTGAGAATGCATCAAGATGTTAGTATTTCATTACATTATTATCATTTAAATAAGACATGCTAATGTTGGTATTTAGCCATCAATTTTCTTTTGATTTTAGTTTTCTTTTTTTTCTTTAGTTTTCAACAGCCATTCTTAATTATTTGTAAAGAGTTTTAAAACCCTATTTACTGTTTTCCTTTGTTGGAACTTTCCACCTTCCTTTCCTAGCCTTCTCCCATCACCCTCAACTGGTTGCAGCAGATGGCTGCACCTCCCTGAGTCTGGTTCTGCTGGAGGTTACTTCTGCTTAAAAGGGCGTTTTTTCTCCACACTGTCGCCAAGTGCTTGCTTGAAAGGGGTATTATTGTATTATTGTAGGGTCTTTACTTTATGGTATAAAGCGCCTTGCAGCGACTGTTGTAATGATTTTGTGCAATATAAATAAAACTGAATTGAACTGAAACCATCAGTTTTCTTCAATATGCCATACTCGCTGTACATGCATATAAATGGCAACAACATTTTTAAAAAGTGATCATTTTAATAAGAAAATACTTATTTTTTCCTCAGTCACAAATATTTACAACAGTATATACATATGTGTTATAAAGGTCTCCTCACCCTTCACAAAAAGGCTTTGAACTCCATTAATCCTTCAATAATTTGCAATGCCATCATATCGCCATGCAGTCCATTTTCATAATACATTAAATAGTCTTTACTTTTTCTTAAAAAAAAA